GGGCTAAAGCAGAACAAGAGGGCTAAAGCAGAACAAGAGGGCTAAAGCAGAACAAGAGGGCTAAAGCAGAACAAGGGGGCTAAAGCAGAACAAGGGGGCTAAAGCAGTGTTTTCCTAAAAATAAATCAGTTTTTTATTATGTCTCCTCTGTAAATGCTGGCAGCTTTACGTTGTCCAAGAAAAACCCAAGACATATTTGTCTGTGGCTGAACAACCAACTGCAATGTAATTTCAAAAAGGAGATAAAGTTCAACGGAGGACAGGAAGAGAGATTAGGAAAAAGGAAATGTTTCAGCTAGATTTCAGTTATTTACGGGCATTTGTTGAAAAAATGTGGGGGACAGATTACGTATGTACAGTACTGAATATGAGATATTAACAGAGGTGAGAGGTGAGAATAAACAAAAACTACTAAAGAGGGTTGTAAAAAGCAAGTTGAAGAGAAAATGAAACAAACACAGAAACTCCCAAACATTCCCTAAAAAGGACAGGCGGAGTGAGGAGCAGGCATGCAGAGGGAGGGATGGGCTGTGCGATTTGTAAACACGACAAGCGAGTGTCCTTTAGAGAGCTCAGAGATAAACAGAACGCCGTACCGTTCCAGCTGAGGACCAGCTCCTTAGAGTAAGCCGGGATGGCTGCCTTCTCCTTTATTACGGAGCTCTGATAGGAGACGAGGAAAGGCACGGACTCCCACACCTGAGACACAAATCACACACAGGTTATGATAAACCTTTTCAACTGGTGATCTGACACCAATGGCTGCGTACCTTGGCTGCATTGACGAGCCTCCAGGCGTTGAGCAGACCAAAGCCATGCTGATGGCTGTGATGAAAGCCTGCTCCGTTCTCTCGCCAGTCAGCGTTGCTATCACACTTTTAAAGACACAGACGTTACAAACAAGGTGAACCTTTACGTTCTGGTCCAAGAACTTTGTAAACCAACTGTTGGAGAAGGAAGCTTTAAGTATTGTAGTCGAGGGTTATGGGTGTGATTTTACTATAACAACATGAGGGATATTCTTGAACCAGTCCAAGCTGCAGAAGTCATAAAACTTCCTTTCACAATAAGAGTTTTAGACAGTGTTGACGTCAAAATACTCCCAAAACATCTGGAGCTTAAATACCTTCCATCAGGGGTGTTCAGAGTGCGGCCAGCGGTCTATAAAGCTGCTCTTTGAGGGAATGTGTGCAGTCCAATGCTACAGTTTGAGAATGGTATTATTTTACTCAGACTGAAGGGGATGATTCTGATGGACTCCTATTACAAAGATTAAGAGTGGTTTTGTATTTTAAAGAATAAAATAAATAGCTGATGTCTCCCGCCGCTGAGAGATTTAAATAGTGAATGTCTATAGTTTTGAGATTGGTGTTTTTCTGGACAGGAATTGAACAGGGAGTGTGAGTAAACCTAAATGTTTTTGCTGCAAGATATTCAAGTGGGGAGTTCCACTGTGGAGAAGGGCAGAGGGAGCGTCTGCCTTCTTATTAAAAAGGCAACGGGCAACAATTTCACCTCCTGCTCAAGTATCTGACGACGCCTACATTCACTGACAAAACTTTTCTCTCTCTCCCCAGAATCGATTGACGCGCTGAAGCCTCACAACCACATGACTGAGTTGCTCTGGTGGGAAAGATACAACCTCTCACAGACTCCATTTTAATTTGTGTCTAAAGTACTCAAGTTCAAGTTTATTGTCATTTGCATCCCATGTGGTACATGAGGTGGAACGAAATTATGTACTCAGGGTCCCAGCTACACCCAAAATAGCAAAACTACAAAATATAAAAAGAAACAGCAAATAAGGAACTAAGATATACGCTAAACGAATGCCAAACGGTACACTAAAAGATCTAAGATATACAGTAAACACTAATAATGTAAAACAATACGGTGCAACAACAGCAGCCCAAACATGAAGTAGTAGTAGTACAGACTTTAAACTACACTTCAGTTTTTAAATTGTGTTGATAGGCCAAGCAAAACCAGAGTTATGATGAATAATCCACGCCACATCTTTTTCTGAAGGAAAAGAAAGTCAGGAAAGACAAGAAGTCTCAGGGACAAAACACCCCCACCTCTCTCCACTATTAGCCCCGCCCCCTGCTGAACAGATAACAACCTCTCCCAAAAACCTCTCCAACTGAGAATCTTCACCAGCATATAACAACCTCTCCCTCCTTTATCATACCTGCAAACCCAGAAGGGATGAAAAAGGTGGCAACTGTAGTGCAGGGTCTGTGCATAAATCCCAATCCAACCTTGATCCTAGTTCAATATTTGCAGAGTTTTAGACACAGAATTAACACTTTCCACGCATCTCAGATTCCTAGGAGTGAGGTGGTGAATGAGTGAAACATTCTTCTTACTACACGTAATGTTTTTCGGGTTTTTTTATACTAAATTTGGCCCACTAGGTGGTGCTCCACCTTTATATTTGAGAACCTTTGTAAAACTCCACTGAGATGAAGTTCATTTTACCCCAGAAGAGGGACGTCTTTCCCTGTCCAGAGTTGCTGCAGAGTTCCGCCTCTCATCTCGTCTGACAAAATTGTTCTAGTTTGGGTGTAAAGAGCAAAACTCACTTGTAATGTGCACAAGTGAACATTTAGTGCAAAAAAGTTGTTTCACATGCATGCAGGCTGCAGATAAGTCCACGGATGATAGTCATCGATTTATCCAAACCAAATCCATACTGAACCTGAAGAGTCCAGTGGTCTGGAGAGTCGCCACAAAACTCGGGACCATTTCAGAGGGCCACAGTGACCTTGCCTAGATGCAGCCACACACCAAAATGGAAGTCAATACTTCACGTAGTTTTCAAGACATCATGCTCACAACATGCACCGACAAACAGGAGGAAAAGGGCATTTCCCATTGCTCCTCTTTGCGCCACAACAGGGGACAAAAATGTTATTAAAATGTGAAATATTACAAGTTTTTCATCATTTGTTGACCACAATCCTTATTTTCATTCCATTTTCATGGTAAAAAGAACCACGAACCTTTAACGACTTTCAACAAAATGTAAACTTTTAAGTAAATATTCATAAAACTCATTTAAATGTAGAAAGTGTTTACAAATAAAAACAATGCTGTTGATGTATTCACTGATGTACGTCTATATGCTCTTTGTGATCTTAACATCTGCCTTCAACACCATGGTTCCCCAGACCCTGATGGACAAACTACTCACACTAGGTCTAAGTCTCTCTCTATGCAACTGGGTACTAGACTTCTTAACCAACAGACCACAGTCTGTGAAGATCCACAACTTCTCCTCCTCCACCATAACCCTCAGCACTGGCTCTCCCCAGGGCTGTGTGCTGAGCCCCCTCTTGTTCACTCTGCTCACATATGACTGCACATCTACCCATCCAGGCTGTCATATTGTAAAGTTTGCAGATGATACAGTGGTGGTTGGATGCATCACAAACAATGGTGATTCCAGCTACAGGCAGGAGGTGGAACACCTGGAGAGCTGGTGCAGGAAGAACAACCTTCACATCAATGTGAAGAAGACGAAGGAGATGGTCGGGGACTTCAGAAGGAATAAACACATTCATGAGTCTAACAGCTTCAGGGTAGAAGCTGTTCCTCAGTCTAGTGGTTCTAGACTTAATGCTCCTCAACCTTTTGCCTGAGGGGAGCGGGGCAAAAAGTGTGTGTGCTGGGTGAGTGGGGTCCTTCATGATGCAGGTGGCCCTCTTCCTACATAGGAGGATCTGTGGTGGAAGTGGTCTCCAGCTAGTAGTATTTGGGTGTACACATGAATGACAACCTGATCTGGGGCAACAACACCACCAGCCTGATCAAGAAAGCTTATCAGAGACTCTACTTCCTCAGGCGGCTGAGACAAGCTGGTCTGGGAAGCTCAGTCCTCACCTCCTTCTACAGGTGTGCAGTGGAGAGCATCCTGTGCTCCAGCATCAACGTGTGGCATGGAGGCTGCACAGCTGCAGAAAGAAAAGCTTTGCAGTGAGTGGTGAAGGCTGCACAGAAGTCTGTTGGAGTCAGCCTCCCCACCATCACAGACATCTACACCTCCAGATGCAGGAAGAGGGCCACCTGCATCATGAAGGACCCCACTCACCCAGCACACTTTTTGCCCTGCTCCCCTCATGCAGGAGGTTGAGGAGCATTATGTGTAGAACTACTAGACTGAGGAACAGCTTCTACCCTGAAGCTGTTAGACTCATGAATCTCTAATCAGAATAATCACTGTGAAAATCACTGAAAAAAAAAATCACTGTAATGCCACTTGGTTGTCGATATGTGCTGCTGACTATCCATGATGCTGATCTCATGCTGCTGATTACTTCATGTTGCCGTGTTCATTCGTCCTCATCTGCTCAGACTCATGTTCATGCTGCTGTTGTTGTTTGGTGCATTGTTTTGTACTACTAGCGCTTAGTGTATGCTTAGTTTAGCGTATTTCTTAGTTCATGTTTTGGATCTTACTACTGTTTTTCTTTACAATTAGTATTTTTGTTGGATGTAACTGGGACCCTGTGTACTTAGTTTTGTTCCACCTCATGTACCACATGTGATGTGAATGACAATAAAAAAAACTTGAATCTTTGATAGAGGAAAACATTAGACTTTATTTAGAGAATATGAAGTGGGAATAATTTATATACAGCTACCCTTTACTAATATCCCATCGTCTAACCTTAACTTTCTATGAATCTGTTATTGCGGCTGTCGACTGGACACTCTTTCAGTGCTTTGACCAAAATCCATGGTCATGTGTGTACTGAAAACTTTTTGACCAATACTCTTCAAGTGGGATTCAAACACATTTTCAATTCAAGGGTCTACCTCTAGGCCACACAACCCCTTATTTAAAGACCGTTTTTAAAGAAAAGTGACTCAGTCTGTTCTTTTGTTCCTAACAGAATTTACCTTCCAACCAGAAAAAAAAAGGAGGGGGGTGGGGGGGGAATCAATAAAATAAATTACCAAATTACAACAAACTACGTGTCATTTTGAAGCTTTGAGATGGAGAATTTTGAACATAATAATAATAGTAATAATGTCATCACAATATGTTTCCATACAATGGCGAAATTAGTCTCTGCATTTAACCCATCCACCACCAGGTGGTGCAGTGGGCAGCTATTGAAAGCGCCCGGGGGGCATTTTGGGGGTGAGGCGTGCTGCCCAGAGACGCCACGTGATGTGCAGTGACTGGGGATCGAACCTGGGACTTTCGGGTCCCAAGCCGGCTGCCCTGCCTCTACACCATCTCGGCAACCCAATACTGAAAAACGTCTCATTGAGACTCATTTTGCAGTCACATTTCATTAAGCAGCTCTGGTTTCTAGCAGGTGCATAAACAACGGCTGATGTCGGATCGGGCGTACCTTGCTGGCGGTGAAGGCGATGATGTGCTGAACATCCCTCCAACTGAGGCAGGGCCGGACTTGCAGCATCAGGGCCACCATTCCTGCGGCGAGGGGGGCTGCAGCAGAGGTGCCAGTGTGGCCCTCAGTACAGCCCGTCCCCCTCTGCATGGACCAGTCCGACGTCACCTGGAGAAGCAGATGGGCTGGCTGGTTAATATACATAAATACAAACAAAGCTGACGATTCTGTGATGAGTTCAAATGTAAAGTTGTCTGTAAGAACATGAAGATCAGTTAACATGAAGGGTCAATGCTGGAAACCAGCACCTGCATCATAGCACCATCTGGACATTCAGTCAGTTTGAGATCGAGTTTAGCTGTTTATCAGTCAGTGGGAGTGCGATGGGGGTCGGGTACGAAGGTGTCCAGCTAAGAGAGCATAGAAAAAAAAAATAGGTGGGACACCTCCCTTTGCCCCATCCCCACTTTTTCCTCTCATCTTCTTTCTTGCCTTAACAAATCTGTCCCTGAGGTACTTCCATTTAGCTCGACAAAGTGTCTTGTCCTTATTTCGATGTGAACACAGTTTCTTGACGGGCAGTTCATTGTGCGACACCATAGTATGCGTACGCGATCATAAAGACTGATCTTTGCGCGGACATACACTTCAGAGTCCACCTCGAGTATGTGCGAACCTCTAAGGAGTGAAGTACGCTCGAGTATGTGGAGGCATTAACAGATGAACAGCAATAAACTTATACCTGTGCACACCTAATGTAAGAATGTGCAGTAGAGCCTGCCACCATTGCACTACATTAGTGTTAACTTGCATTACACTTTGATGCTTTTTTTTAGTTTGTTATTAGGACTGTTATTTCTAATGCTTTTTACTCTGAACTTGCCTGCTGCTGTGAAAGACCAATTTCTCTCAGGGGAATGTTAGTATATCAGGGTTTCTTTTATTTCTGAAGATGTACGAGAGAATCAATAAAGACCATTGAAATAGATTTTTAGTACATTTGTCTCCAATCATGAAGAGTTGAGATCTAGCAGTCAAATCCAGATAAACTTGTCTCATGTGTGTTATGATCACTTCATTTACAAACCTCAGTGAGAACCATCTGAAATTTTCCAACCTACTCTACTTGCACTTTGACACCTGAACTGTCAATTTCAGACAACTTCTGCATCTCAGACGTGTTTACACTCAGTATTTAGTTCAGATACTGGCGTCCTTCATTCAGTTTTACATATCACATGCGATCCAGGCTCTAAAAGAACCTCAGACTGTTTCTAGATGGTAAATTAATGACTGAAGTTCTGCTTTTCCTGTAACTTAATGCTCACTTTTCAAGACCAACACACACAGGCAGTGTGTGATGAGCACTTAGTCTGGGAGTGTGCTGGATCCGTGGCTGGGTGCTGGCTAATATCTATTCCCCGCAAGTGATGTTGTCCATGCAGCAAGCTGCGTTACCATGGTGACTGTCACAAACACTGACAAACAGAGGTCAGCTGCTTCACGAGTCTCGCTCCTGTCGCCCTCAGGCTTTGCTTTAGGAATAAATCTGGTTCTCATGAAGGGAAGCCCTGGTCACAAAGTTACAGCTCCTCAGGTTTTCTACAGGGACTTAAAATATATAATTTTACACAAAGACCGAACTAGATAATTCCAGTTTGTTTGACATCCATTGGTTATCTGTTATGCAGCATGTCAGCTTATGGGTGCTTAATGAACGTGTCCTTTCTGTCCCGAGCTAACGAGTCTTTAAAAGGAACAAGCTCAGTCAGATTTGTTAGTTGGCTGCATGCTTGCTCTCTACTACCAGAGACTTCGGCCCTGCATTAAATCACTTTTAGTAACTCTTATTTCTATTAGCTAGATTTGGGAGTTACTGGGAATCTGATTTTTCAGTTTTGGTTCTAAGTTGGGGAATTTAAGTTTAACATCCTTAAACTCATGGTCAACTGTTCAGCTGGTTAAAGGCTTCCTCCTTCCTGTGTTTGGCTTGGTCCTTGACCAACCTGCTGCCCTTGGGTCAAAGTGACCCACGAGGCCTCAGTTTTCAAATAACCCTCAGCAGGATATATATTTTAATGGTTAAAAACCCACTGTGGTTGGACTGCTTGGTGATATTTATAAAACTCAGGTATTTGCAACACTAAACATCAATAAAACCTACAATGCTCCTCATCGTGGCCCCCCCGCTGCTGAAAGTGACCGCCAGCATGGACGCACACTCCTCTGCGTAGAAGGGCATCTGACCTTTCTCGTTCACCGCTCCTGCAGGCAGCACACATTCAAACACAGCGACTGTTTCTGTGGACAGGACCTCATAAACGCAGACAGCTGACCCGACAGCTAAGCTAAGACTCCGCCTCACCAATCGTGATGGTGTAGATGGAGTTGGCGTAACCGTCATAGTTGCAGTTGTCTTTGTATTGACCTCCGTTCCCACTGGCAACCACAAAAATGCTGCCGAAGCCTCGTCTGCCTGCAATCACCCCATGCTGCAGTGCTGCCTGTAGAGAAAAAATATCAATAAACTGAAAATCAAAAATAATAGAAGGTAGAGGACGAACTGACTGGGGTGTTTTAAGTAACACAAGTTATATGCTGCTCTCTACCGCCCACTGCAGGACAAAAAGAGAAGTGGACAAAATGTCCCACCATGCCGAGGGGATGAGGTCCGTCCACAGTGCGTCCATCATCATCTGGACCCCAACTATTGGAGCAGAACAACAGAAACACCTGAAGACCATAATATTAAAACATAATGCACAGGAAACAGGGCCAAACATGTTTTTAGTGATATAGTATTATAAATATCTGATTCTTGATGAAAATACCAAACAAATGGGATGGGAGTGTTTTACCTGCAGCTGTAGATATCATTGACCTGATAGTGTTTGTTGAAGGCTATGGCCTCCAAGCTGTCTGTCAGGGGGCCATCCAGGACTCTGATACCTGAGCAGAAAGAAAAATACTTTCAACCAAGAACCACAAGTCTTCAATTAAAATTCTCTTCAAAACTCCTGGAGACCAGGTGACTCCAGGTGACATTGTTACAAACCTCTGTTTATATCATCGAGGCTTGTTGGTGGACAGTCAGTGAGTGGACCTGGGTCCGATTGTTCAAATGATTTTGGTTTAATTTTGCAGTAATGTTTTAATTGCAGACTGTAATAATTGCCTGTTTCTGAACAAAGCAATTACTGTACGTCCATTCAGGGCTTGAGTCGGATCCTGCCGGAACAGGATCCAGGAACTCTCTTATTTTGAAAGGGTGCGTTCCAGTAACAGTTTGCTTTGATCTGGTAACTCTCAGGCTTAGTAATAATGAAGTTATGAACAAATATGACTTGCCTTGAATGAATAAAACCTATATTGGCCATTTAAACTGAAAATAATTACATAAACACTCATTTTAAACACAACAGTCACTTACGATCTTCTTAATATCACATACGAGCTGCCCCTTCAAGCATTTCTGTTTCTACCCTTAAAAAAAAATCACCGCCCCTAAAAGTTCAGCCATGGGCAATTTTATTAAAAACACAAAAATATAATTAAACAGCACAACCAAATTGCACATCAGTTTTACAGTTTAAGTGGGTCATTAATAAAGTTTTGATTATTAAAAATACAACGAGAAACATCTGATGGGTAATCATGTGATGTGCATCACGCATCAAAACAACGGCGCCAATTTGTCAAAATAACAGCGATCAAAATGTCGAAAAGACAGTCCAGTTTACTTTCCTTTTTACAAAAAAGGGCTTCTCCACTGAGACAAGGAACAAGCAGGGAGGAGGATGAGGAGGTGCACCTGGCCATGGTGTGGGACATACTAAATGACTAGTAAGGTAAGAAATGATCCTGCACTCAGTAGGCTACACTTATAAATTATAAATCACACAAAGTGTTTAATAGTAAATTATAAATATGAATTTGGTATTTTGACATTTGTGTGCCTCAGCGTTGTGCTGTGTGCGTGTTCCAGTATCAGTGTTGGCCTCAGTGAACCTTGGTCTTACACTGCTATTTGTGTTCCATCATTGTTTGGTTTATAAATTAAGCACTGCCTCCCTCATGGACAGACACGCCGTTTGTTTTTTTTTCCACTTGTGGCTATTTTATCAGGCATGTGTCTCTCTGCAGAGGGAGAGAAACAGCTGCAGGAAGGCACAGGGAAGTAATTATTGTAAAGGCTGACAAAGTCATGTCACTGTAAATTACTACTGGGAATGCTTAAGAAAGATTTATAACTCTTTTGAAATTTAACAACCATTCTGGGTTAAATAACAAGATTTGATGTGGGTCCAGATCCTGACTGCAGCCTGACATTTGGGGACCTCTAAGCCGGTATTTTCATGACCATTGTAAAGCAGAACAATGCTACTTAATCCTGTTGGCTGCACTGTACCTGCCACCTTGCTGCCATAGGCCACGCCCACAGCGCAGAAGCTGTTGTTGGGAACGGCTGCGATCTCTCCAGCACACCGAGTCCCGTGGTGGTTGTCGCTGTGAACATCTGGGTGAGGCATTGGGTCCGGGTCATTGGAGTTCAGATCGTAGCTGCCCTCGGGACTCTAAAGAGGGGGGACATATGAGCGTTGGATTCACACCTTAAGTTTATTTTGTACTGGGACCAAACCGGTTTAACTAGAAACGTGACGGTGGTGACAAAACCAACATTCACCCGACAATACAACTTCCTGGTTTATCAAGGCCAACGTTCCTAAAACTTTCTTCCGATACGCACAGCTCAGCTCAGGAGTGTAGTTGAAGTAGATTTGGTACTAAACTTTAACAACAACATTAAAAAACAAAACAAAAAAAAAACTGTCAAAGATCTGACAAAAGCACAATATACTGAGTCGAACACCCACTGGATTTCTCTTTTATATTTCAGAGCTGCATTGTTCTAAAACTATTTGAATCATTGGGTTGTTGGGAGCAGCACGGTGGCTCAGTTGGTAGAGCTGTTGCCTCTCAGCGAGAAAGTTGCCGGATCAAATCCCGGTCGGGGGCCTTTCTGGGTGGAGTTTGCATGTTCTCTCTCTGCGTGGGTTTTCTCCGGGTACTCCAGTTTCCTCCCACAGACCAAAAACATGCATGTTAGGCTGATTGGTAACTCTAAATTGTCTCCAGGTGTGAGTGAGAGAGTGAATGGTTGTTTGTCTCTATGTGTCCCTGTGATGGACTGGAGACCTGTCCAGGGTGTACCCCAACTCTCACCCAGTGACTGCTAGATATACAGTAGGTACCAGTGACCCCCGCAACCCAAAAAGGAAGAAGCAGGTAAAGATAATGGATGAATGGGTTGTTGTGACGTGTTTTCTTACATAGTTGAGCTGAATGTCCTGGTGGGTGTGCTCCACGCCGTCATCTACAACCACCACTGTGACTCCCTGGCCAGTGATGTTGCGTTCCCACACTCCTGTCACATTGATATCCATGCCTACGTTTATTTGATTGTGCTGTAAAATCAGGAACAAACAGTTACCATCCCATATGATTTCATTTATAGAGCACTTAAAACAGCAACAAGGCCAACCAAAGTGCTGTACAGCAGAAACAAACAAGCAAAGCACACAGCAAAAAATACATAAATGTACTAAATACTAAATGCCTAACATTGTTGAGTTCATAATATAATTGTGGCTAACACAATTAGTTCATAAAATGAGAGGATCGGGCAAAGCTCAAAGATTTGAGTGAAATTAAACCAATAATTGTCGTTATTACTGAGATCAGGTTTTGATTTAACTTTTGAGAATAAATAAAACTTGTAAAAATTTGTAATGCACGCTGTATAGTGAGCTGACAAAGTTTCTTTATATTATGAAATATAACAAAGAGCCATAACTCTGGTAGGAAAGGGTGCAGCACAAAATAAATTGAAAAACGAAATGAAAATAAAAAATATATACTTTTATAAATAATAAAATTGAATATCCTGATGCATGCTCAATAATCCAGGTAGAAAAATAAAAAAAAGTTAAATCTGGTCCTCTGGACATTAAAAAAAAAACCAAAACAAAGCAAAACAACAAAAAATGTAGAAACGTTTCGTCTCTCGTCCGAGAGACTTCTTCAGTCTGAGGTGCTGTATTCAGCTCAGTCTCTTAAATAGCACCTTCTCAGAGTGGATCAACCAGTTTTGCTGCTGACAACCAAAACCAGCTGATCACATGCTCAAGAAGGACCATCAGCCTAACAATGGATCATTAGCACACTGATGGCTGTTTACTGTTCACAGAGGGCTGAGTGATACTAGCAATAACAGCATTGTAAGAGGGGGACAGTTGAACCCAGAGGCCTCCACCCCTGTTTAATGATGGACGATTTCTTTTCACAAAGATGGCCTCCTTTACTCCTCTCTCAAACCATCGTTCCTCTCTATCCAGGATGTGAACATCTTCATCCTTGAAAGAGTGACCGCTGGCCTGCATGGAGATGAGTGTAGACCGCAGAGTCCTGGCCTGATGATGTTGATCTTCTGTGCTGGGCCATCCTTTTGGCCAGTGGCTGTTTAGTTTCCCCGATGTAAGACTGATCACAGCCCTCCTGACACTGAACAGCATACACAACATTACTCTGTTTGTGCCGGGGGACTGGATCTTTGGGATGAACCAGTCTTTGCCGTAATGTATTTTGGGGTTTAAAAGCCACTGGGACGTTATGTTTAGAAAATAAACGTCTCAGTTTCTCTGATACTCCCTCAACATACGGAATGACCACTGGTCTGGGTCTGGGTTCCTCCTTTTCACCTGTTGGCTGACTGGAGTCCTGTTTGGGTTTCTTCTCTGCTTTCAGGAAGGCCCAGTTAGGATATCCACATTGCTCTAGAGCCTGTCTTGTGTGGGATTTCTCCTTCTGCCTGGCTCCTGAAAACAGCACCTCAGACTGAAGAAGTCTCTCGGACGAGAGACGAAACGTTTCTACATTTTTTGTTGTTTTGCTTTGTTTTGGGGTTTTTTGAATGTCCAGAGGACCAGATTTAACTTTTTTGGAATAAAATTGAATGTTTTTCCTTACTTGAGCATTTGTTTTGCTTTATTTTGAAAGAACACAGTATGCCCCTTATAGTAAAGTATAGCATATTAAATGAGTATTACAAATTAAATATATGGTATTTTATCAAATGTAGACGACAAAACACAGCTAAACAAACATCAGCTATCCATCTTCTTGTTTATCTGTTTGGCCGTGGAGACAAGAGGTCAGGATAAAAACTAAGACAACACTTTCCAGTTCCTCCTGGAGCATCCCAAGATCTTCCCAGGCCAGAGAGGAAATAAATAATAACTCAAGCAAGTTCTGGGTCTTCTCCGGGTGGTCTCCTCCCAGTGGGACGTGCCCATAAAACCTCCAGGAGGCGCCCAGGAGGAATCCTAATCAGAGCTTCAGTTCAGATTATTAACCATGACAGACCAAAGAAAGGCTCGTTACAGCAAAAGTCCTGAAACATTGGTCCATCTGCTCCATCCTGCCACACTCATAAACAGGACTCCTAGAGACTTGAGCTTCCTTGTTTGAGGCAGAGACTCCGACTCGACAGAGGGAGCAGTCCATCTTTTTGTAGTTGAGAATCAATGCATCAGCGTTGCATCAGGGTCTAAAGCAAACCCACCTGTGACGAGCCTTGGTGCTACAAAGCGAGGTAGCAACAGTCAGCATGTGAAAAGTTTAACCAACTTTGAGTCTCAAAGACGTGATGGCATGTGACCACCTGACCGCAAGATTATAAAACAAACTAATTATCGAGGTTTATTTATTTATTGTCACTGATGTTTTGAAAATGATATGGAGACATTTGTCCCTCATTTAATGTGCAGTGCTCTTGATGAGGGCGATCTGCTTCACACCTCTTTTGGGTTCAGAAAACCTGACTGACAGCTGTGGAAACCTGAAACTGGTTCTTAGACATTTGAAGCAGCTCTAAATTGGCACAAACACTATCCCAGAACCAGAACTCACCAAATGCCACTGTTTTGGATAGTTGGGGTCGTTGAAGCTCATTGATCTCTTTGAGCGGCTGAGCACTCTCTCCTTGGAGTACCACAGGACATGAGGATGTGCTGCTAGAATGTCAGCTGGTTGGACACTTCTTCTCCAGACTCTTCCCAAAGACTCAGCTCCAGACTTTACAGAGCACAGCAGGTAGTGGCCTTCCAGCTCTCCAATCTGGCCCTGGTTCTGTAGACCAGCCTGCTGCGCCACCTGAGCTCGAGAAGATAACGGTAAACAATAAACCAGGATGATACCGATAAGTGTGGCCTAGTTAAGAGTTTAGACTATGTTAGTTTTAACTTCTATTTGAAGTTTGAAAGCCAAAGATTTGATACTACACAAACAACGAGCTATAAATCCAATTGAATTTTCAGTTAGCAAATATACAGAAAAAATGGGTCTTGCTTTTAGAAAATTTTGTTGTAAACACTTTATACAAAAAAATATAAATAAAAACAATTGTTGAGATACTTGTTTCAGGCAAACAAAAAAACCACGAAAATAGTAATAATGAATAATTTCTAAATATTTACGTTAAAATAAAATGTAACAATATTTTAGTATTGTTTTGATAAAAATAAAAAAACAGTTTTAGCTCAGACAAATTGATGAAGTACTTTACCCTTTCAGCTATCACATCCAGGTGCACAGTTTCCTCTTCCCCATCCTCTCCATCAGGCTGAGGACCATCATGGATCTGCACTGCCCAGGACTGACCTGGCCCGCAGGAGGGCTCCGGCCAAGGTGAGGAGTGAGACCAGGATGTGAGCGGAAGAGAGGGATTGACAGAGGGCAGAAAGATGAGCAGCAAGAGGGTTAGGGAGGACAGAAATATGAGGAGGAGAAATGTGGGAAAATATGGCGCCGCCATGGCAGGGGAGGGCAACACACCAAGCCGACCAGACAAGGCCTCTTCATCTAAGCAGCAATCTGGACATCAGCCAAGGACACACACGGAGACAAGAGGACAATCTGAGAACGAGCTGCTGGTTGTTTAACATCTGCATGCTGCATTCAGAGGCAGCTTCTCAAAATCACAGCCTCTCACCAAGAGCGAGGTGGATGAACCATATCAGACTGACATAGAAGATTTAGCATACTGGAAAAGGCAATTCACACTTTAATGTAATAATAAGAGGAGAAAAAAAAAAGAAAACCGTAGTAGCTTTGGTTTTATGGGAAGAAGATATCCGCATGAAAAGGCAAAACAACTTACATGTGTTTAAATCTATGTATTAATAACCCAGACATGGACACCACCACTGTGTGTGTGTGTGTCCTTGTTTATGCTACTTTGTGAGGCCCATTTTCCCAACTTATACTGCATTGTGAGGACCAACTTCTCCTTATGGGGCCCAAAGCCCGGGCCCCATAAGAAGAAGTCCCGTTGGTGGGTTAGGGGCTAGGTTTAGGACTAAGGTGTGAATTGAGGATGTGTTAGGTTTAGGGTTAGGTATGTACTGGTAATGGTTAGGTTATGGATAAAGGTCATGGTTAGGCTATAGAAATGAATGAAAAATGAATGGAAGTCAATGCAAAGGCCCCATAAAGATAGCAAAACAAACCTGTGTGTGTGTGTGTGTGTGTGTGTGTGTGTGTGTGTGTGTGTGTGT